TACTAGTCGTTCAAAACTTTATCTAAATCTTCTTCACAGACCCTTCGAAAACACCAAGAAGCGGCCGTCATTTTGTTAACAGGGGCGCACTGCTACGCTACTCACTATCTATCACTAAATAGATAGTGAGTAGCGTAGCCAATCAGAGAACGGCATTCGTGATTGAGCGCTAGTAAATTTATACTAAAACTCGATAGAAACACGGTACATGTTTACTATTTTTTAAGCAAAAGACGAAATCTCTAGGTGACGCACACTACTGTAAATTTCAAGAAATTGTAAAACGCATAGTCGTTTGTAAGACTCAGCGGGCTTGATGAATAAGAGACACTAGTTTAGATATGGTAATGGTAGTTTAGTTTTTATGCATGGGCTGATAATTTGCCATGGCAGCTTAATGTTCCAAAAAACTCTCTCATTGGTCTTTAGTCTGGAATTAATGTTTGTTCCTTTAGAAATATTTCCGTGGGTAACCATTAGCCCATAGTATCTTCATGTAGTAGACAAGGATGAAGGAACCGATCAGATTCGAGAATTTCCAATTAATATTTGTCGTGGATTCCAACACACTTAATTGGACACGATGATTGTCTATCTTGATTTCAAGAATTTCCACTTCTCCTGCTTCGTACCTCGAGTAATGGCAAAATAATAGGATGAAGGCGCGAAACTAGTACTGAGTGAAACCACACCAGGTAAAAGGTAAGGCCTGCATACGAACCGATTGGCCTATTAGGCCGGAGCTTATCTTCCGTTTCAGTAGCATAAAGTAAGTAGGATTATTTCTACTCCCCCCTAGATGGGATGCTAGTCCATCGCAGGGGTTACCCCAGCATTAAATTCGCCGGTGCCCATTTATACACCTGGTTGGAGAGAGGCACTGTGAGAGTAAAGTGTCTTGCCCAAGAACACAACATAACGTCTCCAGCCAGGGCTCGAACCCAGACCGCTCTATCTGGAGTCGAGCGCACTAACCATGAAGACACCTCAACTCCCACAGCAAACCATACAAAGCTCAAAAGTGCATTACATCTTTGAGTTTGAACCAAAAACACGGACATTTGCTAACCTTTTTTAATTATTATTAATTCATTACATCAAAAAGGCATTGCAAAATACAAAGAGTAGCTAAAACAGCTGCGCAATTGCTGCTGTTAGCAATTAAAAATATATTACGTTACCGTTAGTTGTAAATGTATTGTAATTTAAAATTAGGACTGCAATTGTATAATATTTGATAATTAGTACTAGTCTTATAGATTTCCCTGGAAAACGAGCTCCAACTGAAGTAAAATATTTATTACCAGTCTGCCAAATTTCACGAAATTTTACCGAAGGAAACGCAAGAAAATTCACTGTCAGTTTTGCTTTTTGTGCTCATATTGAAGTCATAAGGTTCATAAGCTATGGTGCGAGGAACAATGAAAGAAAGTTTCAGCTCTTCCTCACTTAAGTTGATAGTTTCTTTTAGTTTCTTGGCGTTGTTACATCAAGTAACTAGGGTTTTTAGCTTATTATCAAAGAATAGTTATCTCTTTTACCTTTTTGGTTATATCAAAAATAACATTTTTGTATTGAAGATATGGTGAAGACATTAGATGCTCTTTTAGGAACCAGGCCCAGTTTTTCAAATTTAAAATTGACTAAAATATTTCTACCCAGTCCCTTGCTCGTTTACAACATGGCTCATTCGGAGGCACTGAACAATCAGCCAGTTGACACAGGTTAACATTTCGTCACACGATTACTTGTCAATAAAGGCAACCTCTATAATTTCATTTCGAAAGGTTTCACGTGATTGTACTCCGGCAAAATGTAATCAAATTGAACAATTTTAAATTTGATGTATTGTTTCTGTATGAATGTGCTCCTGAGCAGTTTTGGAACGTTACAAAATCATTAATTCTTTGTTCATTACTGTTCCTGAGGGCATCTGTAATTAATTTCATGCTGAAAGTAGCTCAGCACATGGCGTCACAGTAATCTTGTTGTAAAATCTACAGACGACTCGTCAGGTTTGCCGCGGCTAATTTAGTCGAAAGAAACTTCAAAATAGATTGCCAGGAGTCTTCTTGAGCTAATGCTTGCTCCCTAGGTTGTCCGCCCCATTCTGTAGTCATTCTGTACGTCTTATGATACGAGGTGTGGCACGGGGGCATATAGGGGGGCTCGATCAAATGTCCCGTCCCGGGATAGCACTGCACTGTACAGCAAGACTCCTTCCCATGTTTACGCAGCCTGAAACGGACTTTTTCGGCCATTTTCTCTGACATCCAGCTTTGGTCATCAGCCCCGCATATCAGTAGGATGTCCCCCTGAATATTTTCCACTTTGATGGTAGCGTTATTGCCTGGTACGTCCGTCGCATCTGGTGGATACGACTCTCGAAAGATCATCGCTCCATTTTTAGAGAGTTTGACGAGATCCGGCTCAAATTTGAGAAAGTCCATTGGCTTCCCTTTGTATTTCAGCGGAAATCCTACGATGGCATGCGCAGGAGAGATGGCCACTACTGCGGCGATTTCTTTTCTATGTGCCGCGACTGTAAGTGCCATTTCCGAGCCTTTGGAAACACCCATCAATCCCAGGCCACGTGACATGACGTCAGGGTGCGCAAGCATCCAATCACAGGCCTCGAAAAAGTATTCCAGTTCTATTTCTGTTGGCACCATGGGCAGGTCTTCGAACGCGAAGTATGCTAGAGCCAAGGCTGCAAAGCCACGTGACGCCAGAAGAGAAGCTTTGAACTCGATTAACCCTCCTGCAGTGCCGAACAAATCAATAATACCTGGAAGGAGTAGATATACAAAGAGCACACGTAAACAAACTAGAGAGGTAGAAAGGGAGCGGTTGCTTTTCATTTAAGGCCTCTCCTTAGCGGGAAGGGGAGTCGAAACGCGGCAGGGGGGAGAAACGCCCTCAATTCTCGGATCCTGTCTAGGAAAAAGGATAAGTGGAACCCATACCAAGTATCTTGTTACTGATGAAAATTATATGATGTCAACTGACACCAGACCTTCTAAAAATCGGTAAACGTCTTTGTTCATCATTTAAAACCACAATTAACGGCAGCAATCACCCAACTTTACATGAAGGACAGACTTGCATAAAATTATATAACCTGTTCGGGGTAGCGAGGCCTAAAACACGCTAAAACCATACGCTGTAGGTACAAAAAAAGGTAAAGGTAGTCGAAAAAAACTCCATACTTATTTCCTCATATTTACACTTATTTCTCTCATACTTATTTCCAGTCTAATGCCTCACGACAGTTCTTGATTCTAAATCCCACTGGTTTTATGTTCTACGTGACATTCCCGGTTGCATTTTTCCTTTCAAACTCAGTATAACTGATAAGGCGCCGAAATGGTTCTTGACCCAACCAAAGCTTTCGCCTTGGTTACAAAGGGATCCCAGGAAGTCACAAGAAACTCCACATATTAGGTAGCATTCTTCTAAAGTCGAACGCAAACAGCTTTTACGTTGACCAACCTAGGAATTCTCAATTAACGATTATGCTATCAAAGTAAAGAAGTTCTACGACTTTGAAGGGAAAAAAAATCGCATTAGCCATGCAATCTGTAAGGTGTCACGAAATTTAAAGATCAGTTATATGAGCTCTTGCTATTTGATAGTCACGCAACACTTGGTTTCTTCCTTCGTACCATTCCACCCCAAAAAACATCATGTTAGCTGCAACTTACCCGGAAATGGCCCTTTTCCAGGAGGTAGGAACAAAGTGCCACGCAACCTCCCATCCCTAACAGGAATTCTTCGCACTCCGTCCGTCATGTACCACTTCTCAAATGTCACGCTAGTTACCGACTGCAGATCTTCAAGATTGCCAACATCTTTAACATGGCCCTCAAATAACTGCAACTGAACGAAGTATGGCTTCGTGACATCTTTCTTGCTCAACCTCAGTCCTTTTCTTTGTCCAGGTGAAGGTTGCATACTCCACAGTAATCCCATTTGGTCGATTCCAGTGTACGTACCGTACAGACAGGGATGTTCCGCTACGTTAACATTTCCTGCTTCATTCGCGACAAAATGTCCATAGGATTCAAACCGTTCTTTCGAATCCCCGGTTAATTTTGCTGTTAATGTTATCGCCTGGCCAGGCGAAAGTCCTTTGACGCTTATATCCATCTTCTCCTCGACTAGAGACTGTCGCGGTTTGACGACAATCTCGCCAGGAGCATTTGGCGTGACGGATTTCGGTCTTGATAAGCTGTTCAAGTTCTCCATGAGCTTTGAAAACTGTTGCGACAAATATTCTGCTAATAATGACAATTCCACTCGGCAGAGTGCACGTATAGACCAATGCTAGTAATTGCGTTCGGAGAACGCAGTCCTAATGCACATGGTGTTGAGCAATTTTCTTCACATGACTTCCGCACGGTCTGGGGGATAGAGGAATTAATTTCGGTTCGAGGAAAAAGGGCTGGGTGGGGGAAAGCTGTCACATAATGAAACTTGCGACGGGGGAAGTTTGACTTGTCAGCATTTGCAAGGTCATTGCTATTCTTCTTCTTTCTTTTGTGTCACGTTCGACTGACTGTAGACTGCACACAAACAACTACCAAGGAACTACCGTTCGTGAGAGCGTAACTTTTCGTTGTGTTACATTAACCTTGTAAAGAAAATAATGACAGGTTACTATTGCGTTGTCGCGAGAGATGAGTAAGCCAGCGAAGCGAGCTGGTGAGGAACCGCCGCTCTCTCTCCCCAAGAAGAGATTTCGGAGGAGTTGCGCGGGATCCTTTTCCGGACAGCGACTCACGCAGTCAAATAAATCAAAAGTCGAGTTTGTTGCATCGTCGTTACAACGGATACTCTTATGCGAGTCATATTTTTATAAGCTATTAGCTGTGTACCCGGTTGTTTTATTAAATATCATCATAACAGGTGTTCATTTTTCTTAATCTCTCTTTTCCTGGTACTGGTATCTATATTGTATAGTTTTTACTGATATTTGTTTGTTTTTTTTGCCGTACTGTCTGTATTCACTATTAAGCATGACTAGTAAAACAAACTCGTTTAAAAATCTTCTTTGTAACCTAAAATAGTTGAAATGGTGCTCCAAGTCACTGGAAAAATAACCAAGCCATATTTTTATTTCGAAATGTGAATTAGCGTATATTTTCCGCCTGACTGAAAACGAGTGTTTTTTTTTTCTGGCAACTGATCAGCCCGATTTGGCCAATGGTTTAGTGTGAAAGTCAAGTGCGTTTTTTTGCCATTTTGCCCATTAGCTGTGTAGTTTCTCAACATTTTCTTTCCGGCTCAATGCAAGCTTGCTTACATTTTCTAACGAATTTGCGAAGGCAGTTTCCAAGACTTTGATGTGTCTCACCAGGTGGTGGTGTTTTTTTTAGCAAAAGTAATGCACCAATCATTTGAAGCCCCCGCCCTCCCCCCATCGGGGGATACCCGGGACAAACCGTTTTCACTTGATTTAGGTTCCCCGGTAGTCGGGGAATGCACGTTTTTTTCACGGTTTCGCCATACAATGCGGGGGCTAAGCGGGGTTTAGCGGGAATTTCACTCTTGGTTCACGACCTCTTTTATAACACTGAGCTCAAGTTGCACACACGCAGAAAACATAACTGCTTACAACTGACAAAAAAAAGGTATGCTTTAAATCGTTTAATATCATGCTTTTTCGGAGCCATCGATGACAAATGGTTAAATATTCCATACACTGATTTGTAGTCATTTAAGTGATTTTTTATTATATTTTTCATTAGACTGCAAGAAAACCAAGAAAACGAAGAGGAAGGGAAAAAAAAAGTAATCTTGACTTCCGGCGGTAGAAAAAACCCTGTGGAAGTTTCAGTTGTTAAAAAAGGTTATAATCTACTTGATGTTCAGAGGGAGCTCACTCTGAATTTTTTTCCCACAAGAAAGGGATTTGACTGCATTTCACTGACTGTAAAAGTGACTGCCCCAGGTATCCCCCAACTGGGGAGGGGAGTGGGGGGGTGGGGGGGGGGGGCATAAGAAAATCAAACAGCTCTGGGAACGAGGATATGCACGACCGGAGAGGTCTGGACTCCACACAGAAAATCAAGATGGCGGACTGACCAACCTTGTTGGGTAACTTTGAGCGAATTGTGTGGATAAATATGGTAAATCTTACGACTATCGCTCAAGCGAGGAAGCCTCATCTTATCTATGGAGTCAAAAGAGGCAAGGTTCCGAAAAAACTTCGACCTCATTTGCTCCCTCAAAGCGAAAAGCTCGGAGGTAAGCTAATAAGCTCAAGTGCTACTAAGACTAACATGGGCTAAACTCCAGAATACCCGGCCACTTATTAGCATCTCATTGAATAAGAATAGCAACTATTGTTATATACCTCGTTTTTCAAAGCCCACCGGCACATGTAAATAAAGTGGCCGGGTATTCTGACATGTATGTGTCCAAAGCCACTTCATTAGCTCATGATTAGCTTAACATGTGCCTCTCTACGATTTACAATTTGAAACAAATTATCCTTGGTCGGCGAATTAAATTTCAGTACGTGGAACAAGAGAGATGTAACGTATTCTATATTCAGGGCCGTTTCATGCGAGTCATAATAAAGTTGTTGTTGTCATAATATCGTATTTAAAATAGCGTAGAGTAATTGCCAGATCCGTAAGGAGATGTTCAACTGTGCTGGTAAAGTTCAAAGCTGGNCCCCCCCCCCCCCCCCCCTATTGAAGACCTAGGAATCAGAGGGGAAGGGGGAAGTCCTAAAAGGCCGTTTGCGTGGGGCAAATGTGTCAGCACCTTCAATCTTTTAATAAATTCTGAAGGGGGGAGTGTGTCGGCACTTTGATCTTCCTTTCTTAGGGGGTGAAAAGTTTACTTTTCTGAGGGGGTAAAATTCAAAGCTCCTCAATGGGGGGATGCAGACATTAAATGGAATGGCCCCTAGTAACAGGCAAACCAAGGCATTTGCCTCAGTTTTTTGTTTGTTTGTTTGTTTGTTTTGTTTTTGTTGTTCAAAGTCATCATAAACACCCTAAATACCTTGGAAGAGAATTCTTCCATTGACATTGCCTCAGTCATTGTTTTCTCATGGACATCGCCTCAGTCATAATTTTTTTCTGGCAATGGTCTTGGTATTCATAAAGATTAAGCCCAAGTTGTTAATACTTTCAGATATCTGCAAGCATGCATCAGTCAGTTGTAACACTGCCCAACTCTCAGGCATTAGTTGAGCATTTGCTCATGTTTTGGGAATAAGGAATTTGAAATTTTATAATCGGTGATCCCTTGATTGTCTCACCAATTTTGTATTCACATTCTCAACTCAAAATTTACTGAAAAGTATGTGAACTATAAGCAGTGTGCAGTGTGGGTAGATGATGTCAGCTAGGTTACCGTAGAATTCCAAAAGTAACGTTTCCAGAAAATAACTGCTCCCCGAAAGTAATGTCAAATTTTTACCTTTCATTTGAATCCTGAAAGTAGCAGCCCTTTGAAGATTACCACTCTACTATGTACAATAGTACTAGTAGTAATCAAAGATTGTGAGTGCATTCTATGCCTATGATATAACTTAAATAGCTGTTGCTGAAATCATTATCTTTATGTGAACAGCTGGAGTTTTACCAATATAACATAATGACAAAGTCCTCTACGGATTATTTGATTTCCTTGCATTATGATTAGCAAGTTGAGGTCCCATCTATCATGATCAGCTATAAACTGCGATTTGATGACATTTGATGACACATTGTGTGACGGCTCCAATGGTAAATTCACAAGTTTAATAGAACATTTGCCTTCAAAATTCATGCTAAACATCTCATTTTGACTTTTACTAGTAATGTTTAAGCATAAGTTACTAAGCTAATTTTTAAAAGTATACTTGTGCTGCATCCAGTATATTCTAAGCTGGAAGCGCAAAAGTATGTTTGGTACAACGTTCAAGTATTACTTTAGATCAATTCACAGTGCAACCATTACTTTTGCCCTTCATTACCAACATTTAAGGCCTTTTTTTGGTTGTACTGTCTGCTTTGCTTATGTGGGTAGTTAGTAACAGACATAAATGGAACTGTTAACTTCATGTTAGGCATGTTTCACATCCTCTTTATCTGAAATGACTATGAATTTCCATACAAATGTTTTTGAACCATCCAAAAGTAATGGCTACCTGAAAGTAGCAGCCCCTTTTGCACACTAAATCCGAAAGTAACAGGAGCCGTTACTTTCGGAATTCTACTGATGGCATATCTCAGGGCATCATACCTGTAATAAATCTTGAACTTCCTTCCATTGTCGAAAATGAGTTATCATTGGAACAATTTATTGTGAATGATCATTGCTTCTTAACTAATGAAATTTCCCACTGTTCTTCAACATTTATTTATTATTATTGTTATTATTTTTGTAAACTAGTTATTAGCTATTGACTTTAGTTAGGTGTCCTCAATTAGCTAATCTATAGGTAAATACAGTGAATCTTGCATCAATAAAGTTTTCATTCATTCATTCATTCATTGAACTGCATCCTAAATGATGCTGATGGAAGTTTTTGTATTACCTCTTGTAATGTTTATGAGAGGTTATTGTCTGTGTATTTATGTGGCTAGGTCATGACTTAGTGTTGGCTTAGGACAGTTATCTACCCTCAAGGAGATTTGTGGGATAGCAGAGGTTTTACTGTATATTTTTTGTTCTTGGTTTGAAACAAAACAAGATTGAAGTAGGGTTTAAAGTAAGAAGATTTAATGAGTGTTTTTTTTGTGTGCGTGAGAGCGAGAGCCATGGGTTTGCTGACTTTTGATGGGGCTAAATGTAATTTAGGCAAAGTTTGAGTCGAGCCAGTGCTGGTCAGGGGTCTCTCAGGGTGATCATGCTCAGTAGGGTCTCATATGGGGTTTTGCAGGGATTACGTGTTTTGCTTGCCAGCTGTGTGAGAACATGCAGTTTGCCTTTGAGTGCCATTCTTACCTGTTGAGTGCTTTTGCTCCCTCCTGACTCTGTCAGTGCAAGGGTGCCTGGTGGTTGCCACTCTCAGGGTTGCCATGGA